GCATTATGATATTCATTATTCATCGATTTCTAAACGTGACTAATACCCTCTAGAATCTTATTTTCGAAAAATACAAAAAAAGGGGGTAGTGTGGTTAAATAAATTGCAGAACAAAAAGAAAAAATCATTATTCATTAATTGTTAGCCTCGCGACCCAAAAAACCAAAAACATTTTTTCTTTAGATAGTTTATGGGCTTTCTGAAATAGATTCTAACACATGGGAACTCCGTTGTCTCTTTTTATTATTATTTAGGCTGTTGCTGGAGCCTGGAGTGGTGAGATTTTTATATCTCATAACACGTCATTGCTACTCGAATTATAAGGAATCCATACATCAGAAATCCTTGTCGATGTGTAGTCCATACTATTGATGATTCACAATCTATGACGGCGACGAAAGACTGTGTCCCGAATGATGTTAAGCGTTGTTGTTCAATATTTTCCCTAAACCAGAAAGCTTGCTTATTGTAATTTTAACATTTTGATACTGTTTGGTGTCAGAATAAAATCATTCGTTGGCATTTATATCATCGGTTACCCAAAATTGATTTATTAATTTAAATATAAGATATAAAAGTTATAATTACGGTTAATATGTTATTTGTTGCAATTTTATGGAAGTATGAGTTTTGAAAAAATTGATGACGGTGATTTTTGAAGAGTCTATAATATTTAAATATGTTATCCATCATGAATAGTAGAGTTAAGGTTTTGACGAGAGATTTGGAGGAATCTTTACCATTGTCAGCTGCACCAGAGTGAGGAAGAATTTTTTCAAAGCGGGAAACTCACTACTAGCGATTTTTGAAGCTATATAATGATCTTTTTTGCCATAAAATCATGCGTGGAGAGAATGTAAAAGACAGAAATTAAGGTGAAAGAGCAAAGAAAGAACCGACGAAGAAGAGAAAAAGAGTGAAAAAATAGAAAAATTCAAAAAAACATATAGTTTAAATTTTTTCAAAAATATATTGATTAACAAATTCTTTCAGTATTGTTTGTGATACAACTATGGATTTGTAGAAGCACGTCTCAGAATTAATACAAGCTAAAAATATAAGTAATTTTTATTATTTATGTTATTAAAATATAATTTTATAATTATGGCTAGTTATTAAATATTAGTATTTAGTTATTAAATATCTAATATGATTAAATATTTTAAAATGATGATAATTTAAATAATATATTTAATGATTAATTATTTTTTTATGTCACTTAATGAGACTATTACGACATCATTACTTAGCGATAACACCACTTAGACCTAAAATATATCACATTTTACAGAATGCTGAACTTTATCGTGTTGCACAAATATGTCAAATGCATATAAATGATGGGTTTGTAAATGTACTTGTTGAATGTTGGAGACAAGAAATACATACATTCCATCTTTCTTGTGGACATTAGAAAATGTTGCTATGTTGCTTGGACTGCGAATCAATTGTCTACCTGTTAGTGGTTCTACTAATCCAAATACTATAACATTGTAGGATATGTGTGAACAGTTACTAGGTAGTCGGCCTGTATCTAACAATGTTGAAGGTTCAGAAATAAGATTGAAGTGGATCACGCAACATTTTAGTTGGCTTTGTACTAATTCTGACCATAGGATAGCATAACATGTTTGTGGATACATACTTTCTTTGTTAGGACATGTTCTAATGCCGAATAAAAGTAATTCAGTAGTCCATGGAAAATTCTCACAGTTGTTTGTGAATGTTGATGAAATTGGAATATATAGTTGGGGTTCAGCATGTCTTACCTTTCTATATAAAGGTCTAGATCATGGTTCACGACAAGATGCTAAAGAAATTTGTGGATGCTTAATACTGCTTTAGGTATGGGCATGGCACTGGCTCCCGTGATTTGCTCCAATACCTAGTGAACCAATAATATTTCCACTTTCACTTAGATGGCGACACATTCGATATCCAACCAAACACTCCATATAGAGACATTGGAAATGTTAGAGTGGCATTAGATAAAATGGAACTTCACGAGGTACCAGTTAACATATATTAACTCTTATTAAATAATTTTGTACCTCTTTCACATTACTAAGGTATATATAATATATTTTGTGTTAATGTAGTTTTTATGGCGACTATATGAAGATGAAGTTATTAATGCAGTTATTCCAGATGACGTGAGAGGCGTCTATTGTGGCCAACTGTAAACCCATTTATATGTTTTGATATTGTAGAGTGGCATACTGACCGTGTAATGCGTCAATATGGATTTGCTCAACCTATTCTTTTTTCGTCCCAAAGTCTTGAGGGAGTCCACAACAAAGACTTGCATGGTTTAAGAGAACCAAAGAATTGGAGATTAATACATGATGATTGGGTGGGAACAACGATATTAACATATATTAGAAGGAATGTCAATTGACAACTATTACCCTTCGAATGAGTATTGGAGTTGGTACACAATTTATACAATGAATTGGTGCCCTAGAAATGGAGCAGCCACAATCTCAACAACAACAGTGTCTGTTAAAGCAAAATTTCATGTCTCCGATTCCACCATCCTCAGTTCAACCAAATGAGGAGTTTTATTAGTCACTGCACATGAACCAATGGCATCCATTTCATAGGATGAACAACTCCAACCTTCATGTATGTCTGTGGATAGAAGAGATATTTGTCGTGGCTCCAAAAGTAGAGGTCACAGGGAAGGAGATCTGTTAATTGTAGCACTGGAAGTGTCATGTCTCATGGGTTTCTATGCACATATGATTGTCGTTGATGATGACACACATTGCCAAGACATTCCTCACTCTGGAATTGATCTTAATGAGAACGCAACCATAGAAGAAACAAATATTAATGAAGAAGTTTATCAACTAGAACTAGTTACTCCAAGTGAGCATTGTTCCATACTAATCATGTCATGGGAGATGACACAACAGACATTTATAGGTGCATCTGCAAATGTGTCAAATGTAGAAGCTACATCATATGAAGAAGAGACAAGCAATGCCACAGATAAGTAGGGTATAGAGGATGATGGACCTAGAGGAGGAAGACGAAGGGGCTTTTTTTCACACATGTTACATCTGTTTACTCATGCCCTTACGAGTTGGTACACAATCTTCACAAAAAATTGGCAGCAATGTGTCTGATACAATACATATGGAATGCCTTTGGAAGTTCCCACTGTTCATTGCTTTGTCTTATTGCTACATTACTTGACTCGTGACGATCAGAAATAATACCAACGTCATATTGCGTCACGACATATCTGTGCAAATTATCAAGAAAAAATTGTCAACCATCTGTAGTTTCTCCCTCAATAATAGCAAAGGCAATTGGTAATATATTTTGGTTGCTATCTTGTGCAACTGCCACTAATAAAGCTTCTTTGTATTTTTCATATAAATGTGTCCCATCAAATCAAAACTCCAAAAAATTCTACGAAATATTTGAACATCAGGAACTTGGTTATCATTGTGATAAGCTTGAACAACATCCAACTGAACAACTGATACTCGAACAACATCACACATTGCTATATACCATTGCAGGCTTCATATGAGGCTTTCCACTGACCAAATACATTTTTAATTGTTTTTTGTTTTACCATTCATGCTTTCCGATATGTTGTTGTGTATCCATATTGAGCTCAAACTTCACTAATCACCAATTTTATCTTAAAAGAAGGGTCAGATTCAATCATTGGCTTAATACATTCTGCAATTGTTTCTGCATCCAACTTTTTATGATCTTGTGAAATCTTTGCCCGAGTACAACTATGTGGCCTACTATACTTTCTAATTTCCTAAAAATACTTGTTCTTCCTGAAACTAGCCCGAATAAGTCACTCACAATCTATGTCATAACTAACACATTTACAATAAAACGTATTTAGTTCAGACTTGAAAACTTTGTAGTCCACTTCTTTTGATATACTATAACTCTTAATTTTTCGTACAACAGCTTCCTTGTCATTAAATTGTATTCTAACATACAATTCTCCATCTACGTCACAATGACCTATAAAAAAAAAAACTAAATATCATTCACACAACTAAAGATAAATTTATTACTGCAAATATAATAAAACATGTCAACATACCTAAGTTAGCATACTCTGAAAATTCAGGAACTTGCATAGCATTAAGATATAAAACATACATGAATGATGGAACCCCAGACATATGTTAGTTAATCACTGAGTTTGATAAATGAGAGTCCTCATCATCTACATCATCATCTAAACTATCATCATCACTATCCTCACCACTTTCATAATCTCTTTCAAAGTCGTCATCGTCGCTTTCGACGTTGTTTTGTTCTTGTTCAACATTTCTATTAGAAACAACACTCGCATATGCACCAACTATAATTTGTTTAAAAACAACATACAACTCAATTAAAGGATTTTGGTCATAACGTTCGTAATAAATCTGAAACATTTGTTAAATATCATCATCGTTGTTTATTGTCATTACTTGGTATTACATGAAACCTCCAAAAATAGAAATTGAACACATGTAGATTATTCTCTCCACTATTTTTAGAATCTCCACATTAATATATTGACAAAATCAATATTTAAATGATTCAAATAATATATTATAAGAAATATAAATATAAATTGACTTCTCACACGTAAATTTCACCTTCACTCTGTTTGAAACAATATTATCATTAAAGTAAACTATTTTATTTGTATTCATTTTTTCTTCAACTATAAAGTATAAGAAAGAATAATTCAAAAATGAAGAATAAAAAACTTTTAAGATACACTTCGCTATAAATATAATTAAATTATATATAAACAAATTCTTTTAGAACTTGTAAATGACAATTTTTCTTTAAAAAAGTTGCAAGTGACAATTTTTGAATGAATAAAAGCACTTTTCAACTCTAAAATCGCCAACAGCAAGTTTTAACTCCATAAAAAGATTTACTTTTTTATTTTTTATTTGAAATCCCATATATATATATATATATTGATGACAAATCCATATCCAGGTCCTTTCGTGGTAAAAATGCCATATTTAAAAAAATGACCCCCTAAAAGTTTAGGAAAAGTTCTGAGAGAAATTATCATTCAACTGCCAAGGTTTCTTCGGTCGTCCAAAGGTGTACTTGGGTACGACGTTGGTGATGGATATCCCTCACGCAAAATCGTAGACATCCAGGTATACTGCATAATCATTTATGACTTAATTGCTTCCATTTCACGCTTGGTAGTTGACTTAATTCTTGCAGCAGTGTGCACGCAAACTTCAGAAATTTTAACTACTACTTGTAAAATAGGATAGAGTTAATTCATACATCTCAACACTTCAAAGCTATGTAAATGTGTCACTACACCAGAAAATACTATAAGACAGTTGATTCAGAAATCCAAAATTAACAAACTACTGATATATCAACTCTGAGGTGATGTTTTAGCAACACTACCCTGTTGAGCAGTAGGTGCAGGTGCTCCATCATAGCTTCCACGAGGAGTGCCACCACCTGCATTACCGTCACTAGAATATACTGGTGGCTGAGGGTAACCAGCACCATAAGAACTGTTGCCATATGATGGTGGAGCCTGACCATAACCAGGTTGACCACCAGCTGGAGCACCATATGATGGGGGACCATACCCTGGTTGTGCAGCACCACCGAAACCAGACGGTGGGGCTCTCTGAGGACCTGTTTCTTGTTGGGCATACCCAGAAGGTGGAGGCTGGGAAGGAGGATATCCTGATTGCAAAGGGGCAGATTGACCATAGCCTCCTGCTGTGTTAGGTGATTGTGATTGTCCATATACAGGAGGTGTGCCACTAGGCTTTTGGGTCTGAGGGGGTCCGTAACTAGGTCCATAACTAGACTGTACTGGAGGTTGACTGCCATAACCTGGTTGGGAGGTTGGGGGCACCCCATAGCCTGGCTGAACAGCTCCTTGTGGTGGATAGTTGGCAGCATTTGGGCTAGGTTGTTGGCTGGTACCGTAACCTTGGGACATTGAAGGTTGAACAGGTGGAACTTGGCTTGAATCCCCCTGTGATCCATAATTGGGAGTGTGGCCCTCTTGAGCTGGGTTGCTCCCCACACCATAGCCAGAGGCTGAGCTATAGCCTTGCTGCTGATCGTATGATGGTGGCTGACCATACCCTGATTGTGGGGGCATGTGATATGCACCATAGCCATCCTGAGCATAGCCTTGTCCTGGTTGGTTATAACCAGAGGAAGGTGGTTGACTGTAATTGTAAGCAGTCCCATCAGCTGGAGGTGCAGGACCGCCAGGATTTTGCTGCTGCTGAGATAGAGGCTGTTGACCATAGTAATCATATCCGCCATGAGCAGACTGCTGAGGAGGGGCAGTGGACTGATCCCAATTGGTGGAATATCCACCAGATGACTGGGGAGGATAGCCTGCATATGGTGGCTGAGACATATTATACTGGGGTGATGGACCAGAATATCCTCCAGGCTGCACATAGCCATAACCAGGTTGTTGCATAGGAGCAGGAGGGGGAACCCAGCTAGTGGGTGGCCGGGCTTGGTAACCTTGCTGAGAATAACCACCAGACATTGCTGGATTTCTAAGACGATTCTGCAAAAAGAAAAATTGTAACCACAAATTAAAAAAAGTTAACTCACCCATGATGTGAACGTACATACAGCAACAGATGCACAAACAAATAGACAAATAAAACATACATCACTAAAAATCAACACAAATAACACAAGATGAAGGGTATATGTACATTAACAGATTCCATACAGCATCAGAAAGGGGTATAAAGGCCAACATACCGTACTGGTTTGTGATATAACTGAGTTACTCCAGCAGAAGCACACCCTCCCTATTCGAAATGAATGGGTACAAAAAGGAAAGCATAGGCAATAGAAGCAACAAGCATATGATCTTGCCTCAAAAGGCAATCCACTATATAGTATCTCAAAATATTGAAATCTTATATTCCAGTTGTTACATTATAAATCATTCACAGTAATTTAACAACCTAAGATTATGGACTAATCAATAACTGGATAAATACGAGCATCCATAAATCCAAAATATACAAACCGTCAAGACAATTTCTCTTTGCTCCAAGTAAATAGAAAATTGCCCTCTCAAACTTCCCTCCACCCAGTCTACGAGATCAACCTTAAAAGAACCATCAATAAAAGGTACAAATACCCAACAGCTATCTGTATTGAAAGGGAATCCAAGGAGAAAGACAAGTGGAGACACAAAATTTGCTAAGTGCAGAGTCAACAAAGATTTATGGAGCCAATGATGGACAAATTTTAATCTTAAAAAAAAAAGAAAAGAAAGCAAAGCGCTATGATGAACTGACAATAAGGAGGCAGAAGTAGAGGTACATCTGAAGCAATAAAATAACATTACTCATGAAATGTACAATCTATAATACAAAAAACACATAAGAAACAGATGACAAATATTTAACAGGAAAAAAAACAAATTATATACAATAGTAGAAATAACAGGATAGGTTAAAAAGTTATGAACTTTAGAACAGAAAGTTTTTATGTAAGCATGCCAAACATAAGTCCAGCACAAGACACACGGAAAAAACAATATGTCAAATATATAACAGTTCTTTCAAGCAATGAAAGGAAAGCACAAATAGCACTGACTAACAGAATGTCAATATATGAATGAGATAATTGTTAGTTGGAACAACTAGAAGAATACAAAAAGGGCAGGAATGATAATGTAAAGGGGGGAAGTGTTAAGATCATTATAATGGACAATTTGCAGGTTACTATGCCAAATATAATCCCAGCATAAGACACCAGGGCAAATAATTATAAGAAATGAACTGAGAGGCACAAGTGGCATTGTCTAAAAGGAAGTCAATATGATAATTCATATACAGTCCAATTATGACAAGGTATAGACATCAATACGAGACTTACTGCCCTCTAATAAATATCAAATCTGAGAATTAGAACCATACCATTGCATGCTGAGGGAACACCAACAAAGGGATTCCATGTTGGTGTCACTAATGGTCCAATATAAACTAACCCTACATAAGTCCCAATAGCAAGATCAGTCATATAGGATTCAGTAGTTAATAGATATAGACCATGGTTCAACAGGCTATAATCCCAATGAGTATCCACTTTGACACAAATATATTGCATTAAGGTAACTTTGACGTCCCCAAGAACCTAAATCACAGCACATGGCTGGTGGCAAAACTCAACCAAAGCTTAAAACAGTTCCGTGTAAAAGATTAGTGTATTCGTCTATAAAATTGATCTGTCATTTTCTAAAATATACACCTTGGCCATCCTTCTCAATCAATTGTATGAATATATATATTGAGTAGTCAGTACAGATGTATTTAAGTATTTCCTTAAAGACTACACACACACAAACAGGAGTTAGCAAGAGCTAGAAGACCCTGAAAGTTCAATGCAATTATTCTCAAGAAACTGGATCATACCACCAAAATAATGGTCAATGCATGCTACTCCAGTATCCATGTCATAATTAAACTAGATACAGCACAAATTTTAAGGCAAAGGAAGTACGTGCCACAATGACAACTACTCCAGGGGCTTGCTCCGTTATCAGATTTCAACTTAGAAGAGAATGCAGCTACACTGTAGAGATTAACAGTAAAACACATTGGATATTCTAAATTTAATGTTTCTTCTAATTTTATGCACATATCAATATGATGACACAGACTTGAAAGATTCAGCAGTGAAAAAAAAAATGGAGCCAGAACACTAGTAAAGGATGTGAAACTATGTAGTCTTCTGCATTTTATAGGAATGTAATAACAGAAAATATAGATATCACTTGTCAGAGACAAAAATATCTTGGCCATGAAAAAATAGCCATATCCTTGCACTTTGATTTGCAGCTAAGCTTCAAGCAAATAGAAAATAAGTTTACAATAACAAGCATGATATGAAACCACATCATTAGTAAGAACTAAGAATTACTGACAACGTATGGCCAAAATAAGTTATAATCATCTCATGCTTTACCACTGAATTATGATTTTTTATTGCCCCTGCAATAAATGAATACAAGCATTCATCACAGAAAAAGTACTATGATTACAGGAATCATAAGGTATAGTTCTAAGTTTAAAGATTGCAATAAATTAATAAAGATCCATTTCGCAATAATAAGAATGGTACCCATCAATCAATCAGTAAGCAAAGACATTAATTCAGACATAAATTCATCCTGTTTAATCAAACTCAACCATTTTGCACAATGATTAAACATGAATATAGAAACAACCCAATGCAGATCAAAATCCAACTAGTAAACAAATTAGACTTGGCACATGGCAAGCAAAACAAGCTATACCAAGGCCAAATCCATCAAAACAGGAAGGGTACTGAACATACCTCTCCACTGATGACTTGATTAACCACTTGTTTTGCAGACTCAATCTGTTCAGGGGTCCCTTCAATTTTTAATGTTCTTTCAGTAGATGTGTCACCTGGTGGAAGGTGAAGAGGAATCACCTGAAACAGACAAAAAAAGAAACACTATACATTGTGAAACAACAATAATAAATGGGAATTCAACATCATGTAGTAACCAAAAAGTAATGGTAAAGTCACATGAAAAATAATGATGACAAGAATTAGCCTCTATCATCACATTTCACAAGCAGAATGAAATTAAGACAATAAAACTTGAGAGTAAACCTGAATTCTTGCTCCAGTAGAAGCTTGCATATTCTTTATTGTTTCTCCTCCTTTACCAATTACAAGACCAACCTGTAGAAAATGTGACAAACCACCCAAGCCAAAACAAATCCAAAAAAGAATTAAAAAAAACACTTAACATAATACATAAGGCATTCATTTTTACACAACCCCTTTGCACACCTTGTTATTCGGGATTTTCATCACAAACTCATCAGACCCAGCTTGCCCAGCTAGTCGTCGTGCAACAATGCCGGAACCTCCAGCTTCAGCCTGTTAAAAACACAAAGTTAGAACAAATTCTCATTTTCTTAAAATCCACTTGTGATGTTACAGTTTTTCTAATGAGCGCCATGAGCAGATGATAAGAAACGAGCTAACAACAAAATGTTTTCAAGTGAAAATAAATGTATTTTTTTAAAATTGAAATCGCAAAAGTCACTCAACATTATTCTATTACTTCACAAACAAGCCAAGACAGACACATGCAACTGGAATTTAGAGCCAAAACAATCTATTATAGTTAAAACTGACATAGAATACACAAGAGTTTTACTTCACATTCCAACACAAAAAATGACAAAGCTGACAAATCTTGATAGAATAAAAGAAAGTGGGGGTTAGAGGATACCTCAGTAAGAACTTCGTTAATGAGCTTCTCAGCAGAGGCAATAGCATCAGGAGTGCCCATAAGCTCAACCATCCTAGTAGCAGAATTGGGATCCGCATCCATGTCACGAGTAACTTGAATTTTAGCACCAGATTGGAACTGAAGGTACTTTATAGTCTCACCACCCTTTCCAATAATAACACCCACTCTCCCATTCGGAATCTCAATCTTCTTATTCGCACCACCACCACCGGCACCACCCTGATGCGCGTACGAGACCGCCGAAGGTGAAATCGAAGGCGCCGAGTATTGAACCTTCACATCTACAACCACAAAAAATAAAAACATCAAATTAATTTTTAATGTTGTCACAAAAAAAAAAAAAAGACGCGATTATTTATCAAAAAACAAGCATGCAAGAAAGTGAGAGTAAAACCCTAACTAACCGATGGAGTCGAAGGAACCGTTATCGAGTTTGGGGCGTTTGGGGTCGAGTGCGGGAGCGCCGCTGAGGAGCCGAGCCGCGACTTCTTGGGCGCGTTGTTTGGCGAGTTCGATGCCGGTGGCGGCGGGTGGAGGGACACTGTTGTAAGAAGGTGGCGGCGCCGCCTCAGGTGTGTCGGAGAAGCCGGTGGGACGGTCATCGTTGTATTTGCGTTTCAAGGAGGGTGGGGTTGTTGTGTCGTTGTTAGCTGAATATGGGGATTCGTCGGCCATGGAAACTGAAGTGAAGAAGAAACCCTAGAAAGAGAAAGAAAGTGGATAGAGACTCGAGGTTTTGCAACTAATTTAGGTGCAAATGCAGGTTGATGACGTGAGTTTTTCTTTTATATTAAAAAAAAAAAATACTACGGAGCATAGTGAAATTGTATTTAACTTAAATAGTAAAATTTTTAAATAAACCCGTAATATTTGATTTTATTACATCAACACTTCTATTATAATAATATTAATTTTTTATCATAAAGTAGATTAAATTAAATTTTGTACAAGTAAATTTGTTTATTTAATAATTTTAATGTATAAAATTCGTATATTATTTTTCATAATGTATATTAAACTTTTTATTAAATTTAATATAAAATATTTAAAAATTAATTTAATCTATTAACTTTTTTAATTACCTACTTTAAGTTTTTTTTCATCTAGTCTTTTTATAAAGTAGCTATTAAATTATTTAAATAAATCTATATTTAAAATGATTACAAGACTTGTATATAATTAGGAAGTTTAGAGGTTTTATTTTTAAAAAAATTATTTATTATAATATTATAAATATATTATAATTCTTATGTATAAATTAATTAATACATTATTATAAAACTAAAAATCTTAAATATGTTAATATATAATATATAATAAACTTTTTTTTCTTCTCAAATATAGTATATTTATATAATTAAACATTTTAAAAAGTTTAAATTTTATATGTTATTTTAGTGACGAAATTTCATGTTTAATGAGTTTTTACCTATTGTCATCTCTAACTCAATCAAACTTTCTTTTTTTTTTTAATATTTTTTGTTTTTTCTTTTCACTTTCATTTTACCTATCATCTTTGTTATTTTTAAGATTGACTCGATCTCTTTTTCAATAATACTGTCAATTCTTGTTTGTCTAAACTATATTCTTGATGCTAATCCTCTATGCCTCCAAGCTCTTTCTCATTTCATTTACAAATGTTAAAAATTATGTCATTATTATTAGTTGACCCTAAATTTAACCAAGTTGAGCTGTAACATGAGATTTAAAGTTAGAAAAGAGAAAAAAAAAATGAAGAAAACCTAGTGAATAAGCATTTAGAGAGGTGCCACAAAAGAATGGAAATTGTTAATAAGAATGATATTTTGTCAATCTTTGCACCTTGGCTAACGATAATAACCCCTCTTTAGATAAGTTGATGGGTCTGAAGGATTTTGAAAATAGGATTTTGGTGTTGTGAATGTGGAGTTGTGCAAGTAGTGGTGTTTGTGGTGGATGAGAAAGAGAAGATTGTGATAAATGAGAAGGAAGAATGGGAGAAAGAATAGGTAAAGGTTTAGTACATGGTAGATACTTTGAAATAGACCAAAGTGGAGGAGAGGGGTAACAATGGCTAAGAAAAGCAGTAAATGGGATAAAGATGGGAGGGGTTGTCGATGATAGGAGCAGCAACAGTGGTGACAATTGGTCAAATTAATCATATGTGAAATGAGGTCGGTCATTTTAAAATTACAACAGTCAAAAATTAACATCGTTGTAACATACAAAAATGTTAATTTGACTAAAGTATTTGAAGGTTTGGCAAAGTCAATCATCAAATGGTTCATTTAATAATCTCAAAACCAATTTATCCCAACTTTATAATTTCAATGACTAATGTAAGAGTCTACTCTTAAATTATTGTAAAATATTTTTATTTTTAAAAATATAAAATAAAATTAATATAAACATTTAAATTTGTTATTTTTTTTTTATCTAAATAGATAAATCGTACTAGGATGAAACGACTTGTAATTTACAAATATACCACAAACATAAACATATTTGTTAAACAAACCAAACAAAATATAAATTGTTAAATAGTTGTACGTGTAAACACAATATCTATATGCTTAAGTTAATACGAGGCATCCTCAATGAAAGGATAATAACTTTTTGCATATAATTTTAGTTTATGAAAATTATGTTCATTTCATATAACTTTTTCAGATATATTCAATAAAAAACTTAATGTGAATTTGGACTCTTTTCTTTTCCAAAATGTGCACACACACACATACATACATATATATATATATATATATATATATATATATATTGTTAGTATTTGTTTAGATTTTATGTTTCATAACTTTTTGTAGAAAACAAGTGTATTTTAGTTTAATTTTTTAAAAAATTTAATTGTGTAATATTATAATACTCTAAGTGTTCGTCTTATATTTATTAAGATTTAATTAACGTATTTTTTTATATTTAAAAAGTAAACTACAAAAAATTATAGAATGTCATTTTTTTTAACTCTAAACTAGCAAAACTAATAGCTCTAAAAAAAGACATATGAAATGAATATATAATTTATATAAACAAGGGTTATGTGCAAAAAATTATGTCTTTCAAAATTTAAAATTACATAAACCAAAAAATTGAGCATGTTTAATGTTATTTTTTAGCAACTTTTTCTAGACAAACATTGTTCTATGTTACTTGGTCACATTACCTATACATGATTTATATTCTATTTACTATTTACAAATTACCCATTTTTTTCAATATTACCCACTCCAATGTCTATTCTCACAATTTCTTTTCATTATTGCCCATTATACAACCCCATCCTTGGTGCTGCTTTGTTCTTTTACCCATTATGTCAACTAGAATTATGGGCTTATACTCCTTCACCTAAGCCTTGGTCTCCTCTTTCAACCTACTAAAAAGAATCCTATTGGGTATTTTTGTTTAGTTCCTTGTAAATCCCTAACATACCTATCAAATTTCTCTCTAAATTATGTTACTAATCAGTTTGTCTCAAGGTCAAATCTTTGTGTAAATATTCAAGAGATCCTGGTCACTCTCACACACTAATTACAAATTGATACCTTCACTCAATCTTTTTTCTTCCCTTTTTAATCCTTAATCCTAGTTGTTGATTAACTAACAAGAACAAAGAAAGGAAATAATAACTCTTTACTAATGTTTTAATGCCATATATCTGCAGCATAAAAGCAAAAGAGTTGGGAGTGGGGGGGGGAGAGATAGAATAAGGTGAACAAACCTAAACTGCAGCCAAATATTTTCCCCATTATGTCTACAAGTTTTTGCATATAAGGAAGAAATTATTATAATGGTAGTAAAAATAGGATTACATTTTGATAAGTGCCTAGTTTTAGTAAATGTTTACATAAATTTAAGCACTTAATTGCTTCAAAAGTAGGGATTTAAATGTCAATTCCCTTTTTATTTGTAAAAATTTAAGTTAGTTAGCTTTGTTGATTTAGAAATTGAGATGAATGTTCATTTTAATCTCCTTTTTGTTAATTTACCAATTTTCAGGAGCTTATTGAGGAGGAAGGCAAATGAGAAAGCACACCAGAGTAAAGTCTCTGCCTTGAGTGAAAACTCATTTATTCTAGTTTTAAACAATGCAAATCAGAAGAGAAGGGTATCAAGAAGAGCAGGAACATAGCATAGAAGAGAGATTAAGGACAAAAAAGATTGGGAAAATCATCCACCTTATCTCTTTTTGCTTTTCTTTGCATTATAATGGCTACTATGAGTAGCTAGAACCCTTGTGGGATTGGATGTAATCTTCTATTCTAAAGTATTTTGATTATTTATTTATAATATCTATTTCTTTTTATATAAATGTTAATGGTTTCATTGGTTCTTGATGCTTGATTATATTCTATGCAATAGTCTTTTGATTCAGGGTTTACGATTAGTTAGAAATCAAATTTTTGAACCCGGATGTAATGGAACCCACTCGATGTATTGTGATTTTAGGGATAGGTTTCAATATATCAATTGCTTATTAACTATTACTTTTAATGAATGGAAGTTTGATTGAATAGTTAAAAAATTGTTGTTCATTCAATGCTCTTAGAAACCTTGTATGCGAGGAATTGATATAAGAAACTTTGAGAGAGTGCATCTACATTTATATAGTTGTACCTAAATGTTTAATCATCAAAATATGGAAGAGAAAGAATGATGATATTCAATTTCAGTTCAACTCATAAACTTTTCTCCACTAAAATTTACTTTATTTCCTAGTTAATTGCATTTTCAATTTATAACCAAATTGTGAATATTTATTTATTTTTAATTGATAGTTTTATATAAGATAGTAGAAATTATTGATATATGGTACACTTGCCAAAATCTTTAACACGTTTAAAATAAATGAATCAACCATGTGAAACCTTGTGCAAAATAGAGACTCCAAGCGATCATCCTACTTTGTCTGTCTCCAACTGCATAAAAGGAGATTGTGTTAGAGTTAAGATTGTACAAACAACTAGGACAGTTTTATTGATTATAATTAGAGTACAACAATACAAACATTTAATCAAAAAACTACCCATTCATAATAATCCTCTGTTGTTCATACATTACAAGGAAATCGACAGAATTTGAAATCACTTACCGACCACATCTTAATAGCTAGTACTAACAAACATTATTCCATTGTGTGCCTCAACAATTATTTTTAGTAAGAATGAAATTTGATGGGGATGGCTTTAAAGAGATAATGTTTTAGAAAATTTGATTTTGAGTGGGAATACATGAGAGACAGGCTGGAGAGTGAAAGGGGAGCTCAAGGGACAAGAACACATAGCCATAAGAAAAAGTTGGAGGTTTATTTTATTTTATTTTGGTAGTGAAGAGCTTGAAAGTGAGGTCAGCTTTACTAGAAAAGGAATGGTGAGGGGAAATTAGAGGAGGCATAATGGTGCGTCATCCTGTAACACTCGTTTGTCTTGTTATAAATGGAAAGAATCTTGTAAAATATGCTCCTTTTGAATGTAAAGCTTGGTAAAAAATATACTAGTGGGGATAATCTTACTGTAGGTGAGTGCGTGGGGAGCCAGTGGGGGCATGCATGGCCAATGGGAGCATGCACAACAAGAACATGGTTATAATCATGTGATAATGTTAAGGGACAATGTATGCTTGCTTTATAGTGATGTGTGTGAGGCCGAACAAGAGGAATCATTTTTCTCGGTTGAGTATGATTTCTTATCCATGCATGATTTTACCTTCTTTTTTTGCGAGAATGAGTAATGATGACAAGAAATGGACAATTGGCAATCTTACTTTGA